AAGTGGAATGCTATTCAAGCATGTTTATGGCCTCCAACAAAATAACATCTGGCTGATTTATGTCTGGGCTTAGAAGCTAAATGAGATTGTACTTGGGTGGCAGAGCTCAAGGAAATTCCAGAGCTATAGGTAAAACTGGGAAGTTCAAAGTCAGTGGCAAAATACACACAATACTTGCCCAAAAATCCATAGTTAGGTCACTGAGGTTAACAGGAAGTGAACCTAATTCAATGTTTCATAACCATCCAGAAAGATCCAAGGGTAAGGGCGAAGTAGAAACTCATGTGTTCTTGATGCCAGTCCAGTACTCTAATCATGATATCACAGTAGCTTCAGCTTTGTAGAACCGTGTGTATTTATTTTATAGCTGAGTTTTAAGATAAAATTGGAATGTAAAAGAAAAAGGCTGAATATATTATAAGCATAAAATTATGCCTTTTACATCCTTTAATTTCTGGAGCGGAAGAAGATGTACATAATAATTCTGCCTCCTATTTTTCTCTAAAATAACAACCATGGGGGCTCAGGTGATGGCTTCTAGGAGACTCCTGTGGCTCCAATTTTAAGCTGAAACATCAGTGTTCAATGGCTTTCTCCATTTTAGAGTTTGATACGATGTTTATTGTTGCAAATGGGACTGAAAACATGCCAACTGACATATTTCAATATTTTTCTTGCCTTTGCTTTATTTAACACTGACCGTTCCACATTTTTGTTCCTTGAAAAAAGAGGAACAAACAGAAATGGCAGTGATTCTTGGAGTTGATTGGGTGACAGGCTGTTTACAAGCTTGGGAGGTTCAATTCCTGTGTTATTTATGTGTCCTAGGAATGCACAGATGGTGCTGAATTGATGTCACACTCAGTTGACATAGGGTATGATGGAACACAAGGGAGAAATCTGTTTCATAGCGATCCTTGGCCCAAGCCACAAAGGGCATTTAGGTTACAGTAAAATCTAGGACAGGTAGTCCTCGACTTACAACCACAATTGAGCCCAAATTTTCTGTTGCTAAGTGAATTTTGCCCCATTTTACGACCTTTCTTGCCACAGTTCTTAAGTGAATCAGTGCAATGATAAAGTTAGTAACACAGTTGTTAAGTGATTCTGGCTTCCCCATCGACTTTGCTTATAAGAGGATCACAAAAGGTGATCACACGACCATCACAAATATGAACCAGTTCCTTTGACTTAGCTATATAAAGAAAATGGAGGCCAAAATGTGCAGTTGCAAAAAAAAAATGGGCAAAAATTTGCAAACAGATTTGAGCAATGTGATGAAAATGGGAAGTGGGAGCTCTTAGATATGCAGTAGGATCAGTTGAGGATCAGCCTCTTCCATGTCCACTTATTTTATTTGTAAAGATTTTTAGAAGTTCTTTTTCTTAGAATTAATATTTTGCCATCTGTTCTCCCCCCCTTCACACTCTTTCCCTTCTTCAGTTAGATTGATGAAATTTAGTTTACCTTTAATTTGATTAAAGCCAAGCAGTGTTGCTGTTGTCTTAATATTAAAACTTTGGTGATGCTGTTGAGCTTCTAGTGTGGAAAGAAATGAGATTTGTGATTTATTTTCAATATGAACTAGAAAGGAATAGTGCATTTAAGCCCTCTGATAATCGATAATAGTATAGATCAATTAGTGCCAATCATTTCTGAGAAATCGATTCCATATAGACTCAAAACATTTAATTAAGTAGGTAAAGATGCAGCAGTAGGCCTGTTTTCTGCATGTACTCTCAAGACAGGGCTTAGAAAAGGAGGACACAGTTTGGTAACATCTAGACACTTTCAACTACATTTCCTGTAATTGCTTACCATTCTGCCATGGTATGAGTCTAAAACGGGTCTTCAAACTTGGCAACTTTTAAGATTTGTGAACTTCAACTCCCAGAATTCCTCAGCCAGCTGAGGAATTCTGGGAGTTGAAGTCCACAAGTCTAAAAGTTGCCAAGTTTGAAGACCCCTGGTCTAAAACATCTGGTGAGTGCCAGTGTGTTGGTACTGGATGAAAATGTGCCCTGTTGGCTGAGATCAAAGGCCTGACTAAACCTGCTTCCAGTTTTCCACAGATGTATGTTAGACGCCATCTGGAAGCTTGCACAGAGATTATGAAAGAGGAGCCTTCCCAGGAGCATTTCCATCTGTAAAAGAAAACTATTTTTGGCTGTAAAACCATGTGACTCTCTTCAGTGAGGTACAGGTAGTCCTTGACTTAACAACAGTTCATTTAGTGGCTGTTTAAAGTTACAACAACATTGAAAAAAAATTATGACCGATTTCCACACTTGCAACCATTACAGCATCCCCATGGTCCTGTGATCAAAATTCAAATGCTTGGTAACGAACACATATTTATGACGGTTGTAGACTCCCAAGGTCACGTGATCACCTTTTGCTATCTTCTGAAGAGCAAAGTCAACGGGGAAGCCACATTCACTTAACAACTGCGTTACCAATGTAACCACTGCAGCAATTCGCTTAACAATTGTGGCAAGAAAGGTCGTAAAATGGGGCGCACTCTCTTAACAAATGTCTCACGTAGCAACAGAAATTTTGGGCTCAGTTGTGGTTGTAAAGTCAGGGACAACCTGTAATGTTAAAGTCCCTATTATCTCCAGTGAGGCTCTCAAACTCAACTCCCCCGGCCATCATTTTCTGCATCCTTCAGCAGTAATTTGTAGGCAAAGCCATGGCACTGAATGTTTCATAGATAGGTCAGGGAGACTCAACCAAGGAATATGGGAGGGTGAGGCTGCTTATGGGCATAAGGAAGATTGCCAAGCTTTGAGGGTCTCTCAGCCAATGGAGAGAGAAAAAAAACATGAGCAAAGGAAAGCTCCAACAGAAGACAAGGCAAGCATTAAGACGGGTTCCCAACCTGGGGTGCGAGATGATATTCCAGGGGGTGCGAAAAGTTGGGTTTTCAAAATTATAATATATATGCATAATTCATTGCTGTTAATCCAAACTTTTGTAAGGGGTGCGAGAATATATCAGAAGCGTTCTAGGGGTGCGGGGTATAGAAAAGGTTGGGAACCACTGCATTAAGAAGACCCAAGAAAGGAACGATTATCCTGCCTAGCAAGGAAAGAGAATTAAAATAAAAATGTGATTTGAACAGCTCTGGGGTGGTTTCCCTAGGACAGTGGTGGCGAACCTATGGCACGGGTGCCAGAGGCGGCACTCAGAGCCCTCTCTGTGGGCACATGCGCCATCGCCCCAGTCCTGGGCCTTCAGCTGGGTTTTATAAAACCTTTTCGCTTTAGGCCTCTGCCATCGTGTGCAAAAAAAAAAAAAGGTTCAATCAATCAGTCAATTTCAACTTCTCGCAGGGAAAAAAAAAGATCTTGCAAAGTTGGAATTGATTGATTGAACTTTTTAGTCCCACCCAGTCTGCTGTTACCACTGCAGCCACGCCCACCCATTTGGCCACACCCCACCAATGGGCCACACCCGGCCAATGGCCCCACCCACCCGGCACCCGACAATACATAAATGGGTTTTGGGTTGCAATTTGGGCACTCGGTCTCTAAAAGGTTCGCCATCACTGCCCTAGGATGTATCACTTTAAATATATCTTCAAGAAATGCTGGCTATCAAGCCAATAATTAAACCAAGTACTGGCATTCTAGTCAGTGAATAATGCTGCCAGCTAAGAGGCCAATATGAAATCGCTCCATCTTGTACCTCTGTTTTCCAAGTAGGGCATGAGTGGTGAAGTTTTTCTATTGAATGGCAAACCATGATTCATATTTCTTCATTTTTTGACTCATTAGAGATTTCTGTATCAATGTATGAAAAGGCTTCAGTGTTGGGGCTTGTAGTTGAATTAGCGAAGCCTCGTGTGTTAACTATTGATGGTTCAGATTTGACTCTGGCTCAGTAGCTTGTATTGTCAGTTTTGGAATAAACAGAAAAATACAGATTTCAATTTCTTGAAGATACTTTATTTTGTTTTCAGGGTAATGTAGCCTTCCCTAACCTGGTGAGTACAACCAAACCTGGAAGGCACCTGCTTGGAGAAGATTAGGATATAGGGGGTGGGGTGGAGAAGTCAAGAGCCATCCTTGTTGCAAAAGGGGGAAGCTTCTAAATTTCATTTTAAGTTTTAGGTTTTACACTTAACATACTTTAATTGGTGGCTTTGAGTCCATCTTGACTCCTAGTGACTGCATGGACAATCCGTGCAGTTTTCTAGACAACTTCTAAAAAGGTTTGTCACTGCCTTTTTTCTAGGGTTGAAAGAGCATGAGCGGCGCAAAGTCATCCAGTTGGCTTCCGTGCCAATGGCAGGACTAAAAACTTGACTTGCATTCTATTAGTCTAGCACAGTGATGGCGAACCTTTTAGAGACCACTTGCTCGCTCACTTCCTGCCCTGTCATTTCCAAACGCCACGTGCTCGCTACTCTGGCGAACTCTGGTGGGGCAACAGCATGTGTGCCCACAGAGAGGGCTCTGAGTGCCGCCTCTGGCACGCGTGCTATAGGTTCGCCATCACTGGTCTAGCACTTTAATTACTAGACCAAAACTGGCTCTTTTGCTTTCTTACTTGGATATAAACTAAAGTGCATTCAGTGGAATGTAATATTTGTTTAGAGCTGCAACCTTTCTCTATAAATAAGGGGCTTGTTGAGCAATACAATTACACCTCAGAGGAGTTAGGCCACAAATATTTACGATTTATCTGTCTAAAAAATGGTTAAATAAAATTTTAGTAAAAAAAAATGTTAATCAGAAACAGTGCTGCCAAACTTCTGATTTTAATGGAAGGCAGTATATGTAGCTCAGGGTTGAACTAAGGAGTCCTTGATGCTCTGGCCACTGATTATGGTGTTATCTAGTTGGATAATGTAATGTCAGCAAGCAAACAACCAAGCGCAGAGAGCACCAAGGTCTCCATAAACTCCTGATTTCCTTTGCTGCCATAGACTAACACGGTCTCAGCATAGTGGATCTGATAATACCAGTTACTTTGTTCTTTTTCCACCTCTCTAGGTACCAGAATCATTTACGACCGCAAGTTTCTGTTAGATCGGCGCAATTCTCCCATGGCTCAAACCCCTCCTTGCCACCTTCCCAATATCCCAGGAGTTACCAGTCCTGGTTCTGTGACAGAAGATTCCAAAGTGGAAGTAAATAATCTGAACAATCATGATGGGAAGCCTATAATTGGTAAGAACATTTGTATCGTAGCAGAAGCAAACTGCAGTATCTGCACGCATGCCAAATACTTACTTGCAACTGACAGTACCGATCCATCTCTCTGCTACAGGTAGTCCTTGACTCACAACCATTCTTTTAGTGGCCATCCAAGGTTACAACAGCACTGAAAAAAGTACTTACTACCAATCCTCACACATAAAACCATCTTAGCATCCCCATGGTCACAAGCCAGAATTCAGGTGCTTGGTAACCAGCATGTATTTACGACAGTTGCAGCATCCCAGGGTTATGTGATCATGTGTTACTTTCCTAGTTGATTTTTAACAAGCAGAGTCAGTGGGGGAAACTGGATTCGCTTAGTGACCATGTGCTTCACTTAACAATTGCGGTTATTCTCTTAAGAACTGTGGCAAAAAGGTTGTAAAACAGGACGCAACACACTTAACTGTCTTGGAATGGAAATTCTGGTAACAAAGAGATTTTTCTAGGGGGGAAAAACATGCAGTACTACTGATCTCTTTGTTCTTTATAGCCAGAATGGGAAGTGATACAGAGCTATTCTATTTCCTGCACTGTGATTTTGTTCAAACATGAGTTTTACCTTGGGATCAAGTAATTTATTTCCTGTCTGCAGTTTTTCCCCCCCCTCTAATGCGTTTAGAGAGCTTCTGCTTGTAGAGAACAGCAAACTGTTGCAACAAATTGTATGTGGTAGGAACTGAATGTTGAATTATTGGCCTTTTGCCTTCTGTGCCTTAGCAATTCAATAGCTATGAATTATTGAAAGATATTTACTTTTTCAAAATGGTATAAAGCAGTTCAAGTTGAGGTAAAGTACAAACATTTTTGCCACACAATTTTGGTCATATCATTTGCTGAGATGGACTTGATCCATTAGAGGAACTAGCTGTAAATCCATTGTATTTCTAGGCTAAATAGGAATTGAGGGGTCTTTGGTGCTCTCTGAGCTTGTATGTTTTCTTGCAGACATTTCATTACCTAAACTAGGTAACATCATCTACCACTGATGGTGTTACCAATTTGGGTAATGAAATGTCTGCAAGAAAACAAAGCAAGCTCAGAGAGTCCCAAGGACCCCTCATTTCAACCCTGAACTACAAATATTTTCCTTTATTGGTAAATAGGAATTGGACAAAAAAAATTAGATAAGACGCTAATAACAATCTACACATTTTTTTCTTTTATGTAGTTGGTCTCAAAACAAAACCATCTTCTTGTATTTCAAGTTCAAAGTTTATTTTAGTCAAAGACCGGTGTATAGCAAAGCAATAGCAAACTGTTTAGAAGTAAAGAAGGGAAGGCCAGATGTAAAACACAAGCTAAAACTTGAATTTACACTAAAAATGCTGGAGGTAAGAAATGTCCAAAACATTCCATGCATGAACTGTACCATGCTCAGGTCATATGGCTTTGGGTGCTCCGTGCCCAAAGTAGAATGTCTTTTGGATATATTGGCCCATATACAGCATGAAATGGGGCAGTTTTATTTTGGACATGGACCAAACACAGTGATTCCATAATGCAGCAGAAGATGGTCAGGAAAAAAATAAAGGATGGTGGAGTTTCTTGGGAATATAGATTGCCTATGAAACTAAACAAATGAGGAAAGCTAGCTCCTTGTACTGTTGTCATGAACCATTATTTTATTTTATTATTATCAATTAAATTTATTGACTGCCCATCTTACCACTGGGTAATTGTGTGCTGTGAAGTGATCACACTTCAGCACCATCAACTGAAGGGAAGGAACTAGAAAGGTCAGTGGATAGGAGAGCTGATGAAATATAAAATCATTGCAGCAGAAAACAGGTGGAGAAGGAATGGAAAGAGGGAAAGATGCCCACCAGGATAGTCCTTTCTCATTAAATCACTCAATAGTGCTCTCTCTTCCTTTTTTAACCGGAACAACCAAAAAGTTCTGAATTTTATTTTCCCTTAACCATGGCAGATCCAAAATATTTCAGAAGAACTTCTGAAATGTGTTGGGGTTTTGTTTTATTTTTTTAGATCAAAACATATTTTCTCTTTTGGTTACATCCTCATGCAGCAGAAGGAAGCAAAGATACTGGATGTGAGGGTCGACTCTCCTCCTATAAAGAAGCATGTAAATTAAACAGATCAAGAATAAGCAAAATATAAACTTGAGTGTAGGTATATCTCGCCAAACATGCCAGGCAGATTCTTTGTGAGGTACTATTTTAAGCCAGTGCTTGGTTTAAGCCACCTTCTAGCTCAGTTAAAATGGTATGGTGTATTCCATCTGCATTTTCTAGTGGGTTTGCCTGTTCTGTTACTTTGGCCACTTACATGTGTCAGGTCATTGAAAGTAAGAATTCACTGTCCTCTTAGGAGACTTAAAAAACATGTCTGTAAAGTTTCTCCCCTTAAACATTTTCCGTTGATTTGCTTGTGCTCTTGTCTTTCAATCAGGTGATGATGCTCAGTTTGAGATGGACATCTGATTTCCCCTGAGGGTAACCATGGAGAGATAGCAATTCCTGATCACCTGCGTACATCTGATTTTGACCATCAGGATCAATAACTCGAAGGACGAAAGAAGAAGAAGTAGAAGCTGCTGTTTCCACAGAATTTTCACTTCAACTTTTGAAGTGCCAAAGGATAAGAGGACTCTCCTTGATTTCCATTAACCATACCATGCTTCCTACCCATCCCCTACTCCTCTGCTTGCCTTACTCACTCCCTATAACTGACTTGGAGCCCATGATAAATTTATATGGCTAAGGAGTGTCCCTTGGCTTCTCGCACTTTAGAGACAACTTTTCAAAACATGCACATGCGAGAATTTAACTTCTATCAACAATTGGATATTTATTGCAAAACACACAAGGGGCATGGAAAGGGTGGATATATGTTTGAAGTGACATGACACTGCCATTGTTCTTCTTTCCCTTAACTGCTGTTAAATTGATGTCAATTTATTAACTTGATTTCTATGTTATATCTCCTTTGACGTGCAGAACGCACTCTCTTTTGATATTTCTAAATCCTGTTACTCAACTTGTCTTTTTTTAGTTAGTATACCCTTTCATGTGGGGAGCTGCTGTGAGATTTTCCTAAAAGAGTATTGGAGTTTTTTCTGCTTCCCCTGAAAATTTCTTTTTTTTAAAAAAAATAATAGATAAATAATTTAGAATCACCACTTCATTATGCATTCATTTCACTTTGTATTTCGTCCCAATATCATTTCACCCCCCCAAAAAAAGTTTCTCTCCAATTTCCTCATTTAAACCCACCAGTGTTAAAAGCGAACCAGATCTTTTCCTAATTGGGGAGTATCATGCTTGATTGATTTCTGTACCAGTGTTTCTCAAATTCGGCAATTTTAAGCTGTGAGGAGTTCAACTTCCAGAATTCTGGGAGCTGGTCAATACAGCTTATAAAGTTGCTAAGGTTGAGAGACACTGATTGTTCTGTACTATTTGTCTACAGTCTTTAATTTTTGCTGCTCAATAACCTCTGGTGGGTTCTTTGCAAGTGCATTTTTGTTCCAAAAGAATTAAATAAAGCAACCTGGTTACGCTTAACTAAGAGAAACCCAACAAAAAATGAAAATTGTGAAAAAGTCTTGTATGGACCAGGGAACCTTAAAGAATCAATTAATTATTAAGATGTTAAGTGCTGATTTCATGATGCGTGACTTCAAATGAATTTGAAATGGTGACTGATCAGAAAGATTTCACTGCATTTTTCAAACAAGATCTATTTTTTTTCTTGGTTACTATCTTCCGCACATTTCTCGAATTCATACATTATTAAATCAGACACCTTGGAGCCTATTGCAGATCCAGTGTCACTACGGAGGAAGAGTTGCTGGTGATCTCACTTAATTCTCTTTATTTGGATATATTGGCCATTACCCACATACTGGTGACCCAACTCCTAACTTGATTAGTTCTGGCATAAGTGAACTTGTGCTGTTTGCCTTGGAATTGTTGCAGAGAGCAAATAGGATCTCTCTTTGCAGGTATTCATTGGCAATTGAGGTCTCTTTGTGAAGAAACCAGTTACTGTGAAAGGGAAAATTGGTGGATCATTTTAACACAGCCCGTGGATGAATCCATGCAATGGCTGCAGGGCCCCTTGATACTTGGCACCATGAGAATGCTGCCATATTAGATTGTTTTATTGTCTAGAGCAGGGATCTCCAAACTTGGCAACTTTTAAGACTTCATCTCCCAGAATTCCTCAGACAATAATGAATTCTGAGAGTTGAAGTCCACAAATCTTTAAAAGTTGGCAAGTTTGGAGACCCCTGGCCTAGGCTAATGGAATAATAAAACCTCTTTGCTTGATTTAAAAGTATGTCACCATAGATGGAAAGCAGAGTTTTTTTCCCCCAAAAGTTAATTATTTTACGACCCAGACTGAACAAAAACTACAGTGATAAGAGCGAAAGATATATTTCCTTCTTTTAGAAGAGGGAATACTGCTTAAGACAATGCTTGCTGTGACCTCACATACATGAACTAGAATTATTATTTTTTAAATAGCACACCCACACTGAAGTTTCTGGATGCTTGTCCCTGTCTTCAGTGAGGCTTTCCTCCTTTGTAATTTTATTTTGAAAATGAAGCCTCTGAGGCAAAGATAAACTACCATGACCCATCCAGATGTCATTAGACTGCAACTCCCATTATCTCTGTCTATTGGTCTTGCTGTCTCAGGCTGATGGGGGTTAGAAATTCTGCTGTTCTAAGATTCTTGCTTCTCTAAAATATTTGATGAGTGTTGCCTCTGATTCCTTTAGGAAGTCTTCCAAGAGTGATTCATGTGCTACCTCAAAAATAGAATGACTGAATTGTGCTAGTTTCCCTAGTGGGGAGGTCACACTGATGTGGCAATTTTGCACATGGATTTTATTGTTCAGGCATAATTGGGAGTGGAAGTGATACAGCCTCAGGGAATGTGGCAACTATACTTGTTTTTAATGTAGGCTTCACTTCTAGAAGAATATCTGAGAGTATGCTCGTCCTATTGGATTTTGGCCTATAAAATGACATAATGGATTTCAGGTCAGTTCTTGGACTCACCTATATTTTCAAATCTGGGAATTGACTTTGGCTCTTAATTCTCTTCATAAATTGGCAACTTATCATAATTGACTGGATTTAAAAAGGAGGGGGGGCGGTTGTCATGATTTAAAATGTAGGGTATGGGCTTTTGCTTCCCCTCCGCCTTTGTGGTAGCTTTGGAGGCATGTAAGAAAGACAGGATTTTATTTTGTTTCGCCTACTGTAAAATGTGAATAATACAGAAGCAAAATTGCTTTGTAACTGTTGATGTCTCAGGAATAATCTCTTATTTGCAATGTCTCTGGGGAAAGATTGTTGCTTCTAAAGTGGTGACAATGCTGTGACTAAGCTGTGGCTCATAAAGGGAAGAATCCCTTGAAGTGCAGCGTAAGCGTCTGGATTTGGGCAAAGGAGACTTCTAAAACGCACTGCATGTTCAGTCATAAATCAGAACACAGACAGTTCCAGTGTTTCTGCCTGGAACCTCACTTCATTGGCCGTTCAGTTGATGGGAGAGGAGAGATACATCTTTACTTGGCAGATGTAGGCAAAACTGAAGTTTTAATCACAATCCCAGTTCAACTAACTCCAGGGAGGGAAGGAGAGGGTAAGAATAAGAGTTTTAGGTGTTCCTAACAGGCCTTGTTCTCATTGTAGTATTTTTGAAGATTTTTGAAACCTGGGAGTTAACTTTGGTATGTTACTTTTTCCCCTTCTAATGGTTTAACTAGTAAAATGCCATTAATAGGACACTTTTTTTCACAATTAAAAAAATACTGCTTTATCAGAGAATTCCATGAGATTTTCACAAATTGGATGCTGCTCGTAAAAAACTGATTCATCTGAAGTCTGTTCTGTATAAACATAGCTGAAGGAAGGAGTGTTCCAGAGGGAAGGATTGATCTGTAGTCTGGGTGAACAGATTTCTCTTGTACTGTAGGATTCCTCATGTATTTGGATAAAACTCTTCTGATCTTTCTCTGCTGCAGTTTCCCCCAATTTATAAAATTGAGCCAGTACGCTCGTACCTTACGGATAGTTCTGAGAAAATAATGAGTGTCGTTAAGAAACAAATAACGTTCCATTTCCCTAAAACTTAGAAAATTGGTTCAGTCGTGGCCATTTTCTCTCCCACGCCTTCTGGATTGTACCTCCTATCCTTGTCTATGAATAAAGCTGCATTTTATAATAGAAGAAGAGAAAGCTATTAGAGAAATCCTTTTTTTGCTTTCTTCTGCAGAGTTTATCCCCCTAGCACGGTATAGTTCTCAGTCTCCTTTTAACGCTGCCAAACCTGAAGAGAAGACTAAGACATAATAATGCTAGGCACTTAAAATGTTTGCAGCGGAATTTTATTACTTGAACATTTTCCATCCAGTAGCTGAAAGAATAGAAATAATTGCTAACCTATTTTGCGGTCCTTCAAATTCAGAACCACAATCTCCGTTATCAGTAAATTAGTGTTGTATCTCTCTTCTAAAGAGAGGCCTCCAGTGCTATATATGATCATTTCCTCTGGGTTGTGTTTTTTTTTTGGGGGGGGGGGTAAAGAAACTTTGGAATAGGTATACATTTTAAGCACTATTGTGAGATAAAGTGAATCCATGCCAAACATTTGAGGTAAGTAGAGCTGCAGGTTTTAGTCAATTCCTTTTTTTTTTTTTTTTTTTGCTAACTAAAAGGAGTAGATTTATATTTGGTGTAGAACATGCTTTCCTTTATTTTTTCTGCCATTTTCTTAAAACTTCATATCGAAATACTATACAGATGTAATCAACGGAATGAAAATTATTAATTAAAATTCATTTATTGAGTCTGTCTTTGGATTTATCTAGGATTAGGCCAGCAGACAAATAGAGGGATATCTCTGAGGGAATAGAGCAGGGGTAGGCAACCTTGGCTCTTTTATGACTCGTAGACTTCAACTCCCAGAATTCCTGAGCCAGCATGGCTCAGCTTGGAAACTTTCCCTTTCCCTTCAGCATGGCTGGCTCAGGAATTCTGGGAGTTGAAGTCCACGAGTCATAAAAGAGCCAAGGTTGCCTACCCCTGGAATAGAGAAAGTGAAGGTGATTGTAGCTCCTTTTTAAGATCTTGTACAATGCAGTACGTGAAAAAAAGGGATGAGACTTCAGTCGCAACTGCTATCTTGACCAGTGTTATCTGGCTGGGAAATTCTGGGAATTGAAGTCCACATATCTTCAAATTTCCAAGGTTGAGAAACATAGAACTTGACCTTTGGCGATACTAGCCATATTCTACCAGTAGTTGTGCAAGTGCTAGTTGAAAGATCAAACAGGGATGCCTAGTCTTAAGGAAGTTGAGCTTTGCAAATAGCTTTTGCAGGTGGAAGGACTTTATGTGACATTTGCACAAAAGGATTTCCGCAATCAGTGGCAGAAGTTTTGTACTAGGAGATAGACATCTTAAGATGCCATATTTTCTTTATGAAAAGCTAATAATGATAAGTTGGAGCAGCTTGGCTATGCTGGAGCCTCTCAACTTTCCAGATAGTAATCTGAAAGCCTGAATGACCAGAAAAGCTATTTACATCAGTATCTTATTAAAAAAAAACAACAGCAAGGATCCATCTAGATAATGTGTAGTAATGGTGAAACACACATACACTGAACCACAAGTCAGCCTCACACCAAGAGTACATATTTAAAAACATTTTACTGGAAGTACTGGGATTCCATGCATTGGGTTGAACACTTGTGCAAAAATGTAGCAACTCACATACGCTGAAGAATGAATACGCAGCACATACGTATGGTAGAAAATAACACAAGACTGAATTGTAATAGGTTGTTTGCAGTCCTTTGCCAATTCGGTTTCCAAAGTCTAGACTTGCTTGGCAAGAAAATCAAGCAAGGGGTTGAGTTTTTATTTATTTCCATCCCCTTAGATATTAGGTGAGACCATTGAATATTTGATTGGTGTTTTATTTCTTTACTATTGTGCTTAACAATGCAATTAATTCCACATAACTGTGTTCTTTGTGGCAAAAAAAAATATCAAAATTCTGGTCTTCCATCCTCTTAGCTACAGCATTCCGAATTAGTATGTTGATTTAAAAAAAAACCTTTTGCAGTTCAATTGTTTAGACCAGTGTTTGATGCTGGCTAAGAAATTTGAGGAGTTTAGGTCCATCCGTCTAAAAGTTGCTGAGGTTGACAAATCCTGGTCTAGACTGCTTTTGATATCCTGGTTATTTGCTGGTTTTCAAAAAAGAATGGAGGATAGACAGTTGGACTGAAATATTTTAGGTACAGTAGGAACAGTAGAATTAAAATATTTTAAATACTTACTATGGCTCATCGTTACTGTCAGGAATGTCTGTTACAAGAACTTTTGTACAGAGAACTAATAAAGGATGTTTATAGGGGCCTTGGAAAATCTCCAGTGTTACGGCTAAAATATTATCTATTTTGACTCCGAGATGCCACTTGGAACAGATCCATGGTAAGTTGCCCTTGCTCTCACCAAAGATAATGTGCTCAATGCATCGATGAGGATTTTTAGGGCCCAACTTAAGAGCTCACAATTCTGCCACTGTCTCTGGCGTTTGTTTACTAGTGTTCCAGTCTTTTA